CCCACTCTTGACTCTTGGGGCCCAAACCGGGCGAATAATAATTGGGGGTGGGAACTGCCGAAAAAGGGCCATTCTTTGCTTAAATTTTGATTTTCCCCTCAACGGTTACCGGGCAATTCAGGGTCTCTGGCGTTCATTTTGGACTTTAATTAACGAATGAAACTACGAAATCGCTTCAAGGCCCCTTTCCCACTTGGCTCTGTCTTTTCGGAGATGGATTTCAAATCGGAGGTTCCACCCGTTGAAAAGGGAGGAAAACCAGTCTTGTACCTATAACATGTCCACTTCAAAGTGTCACTCTCTTTCGTTAAAGGTAAGATAGTATTATATTTTCAGTCTGGACTATGTGTGCTCTTGAATTCATCTTGCTTTTACTGAGTTGTCACTTTTTCCCCTCCATGCTGGAAGTTTTTCGTGCGAAACCTGTTACCGAATGTTATTAAAAGACGAAGAGCCATTTTTTGTGGAAGTCTTAACTATCTAATAACGGTGTAAATATCATAACAGTTTAAGACCCCTTTTAACATTGTATGTTTGCTCTTGAGAGAGGACCTCCAAACTTGATGTCCCATCTCCGATTTGACAAGCCAAGTAGGAGGAGAGCCTTGTTAACTCCGCTAACTAGCCGAGTTCAAGAAAGCCTCATTTGGGATTCGGGACAGGAATTGTCTGCCCCATGGCTCAGCTTGATGAGCTGATGGTGTAACTGTAATATACTGCGTTAAAGACAACAGCAACGTCTTCAGTCGAGTTTCTATTCGTCAGTCTTGTTTCCTTTAACGTGAGAAAACAATAATTACTTTAGGATTTTTCAGGATCGATCTACCGCAGAGTAATTTTTGTTTTTATGCCTTCTTTTATTTGCGTGGCCGGCGCGTGGAGAAAGAATAACGTTTACCTGTCCGTCAAGGGAACATTAACACGCATAATTTTATACGCAACAGCTCATCGTTGTTGTCTTCTCACAAAGCTATATGAACTTAAGTGTGATGTTGAGGGCAGCGCCCTCTTCTGATTTGTCTCTCCCCATTCCTCTGTCTGTCTGTCTGTCTGTCTGTCTGTCTGTCTGTCTGTCTGTCTGTCTGTCTGTCTGTCTGTCTGTCTGTTTGCCTTAGTCACCAACCAGGCAGAAGTGGGTGGGTGGCGGGTGCTCTGGTGTGATTTGCTCCTTCTTTCCTATCAACAACGATCTTCCTTATAAATCTGATTACTCTCCTCCTTCGTTTTTATGTTTGTTTCTCTGTTGTTACAACTCTCTTTGGTACTTATGTGACCCAGTTGTGTTGCAAATGCCATAAAAAACTTACGAAAACATAAAAATAAATCGCACTAAAGACTTGAGGTCGATTCTTTAAAATAAGATGTATATTGAGCGTCTCCGCCGTCTTTTTTTCTCGGATGCTGTATCGTGTCCACCGCGGATTGGTCCCTAGTAGTTGCGTGGGTGACACAAACAGCCTTCTCAACTGTGGCGGAGCAGGCATAAACTATTCAGTCATTCAAGTCACGAACACGCACACGCGTACACACACACGCACACATACACACGCACACATACACACACACACGTATACACACACACACACACACACACACACACACACACACACACACACACGCACACTGTGACACACACACTCGTTTACACACACATACGCGTAGACACACGATCATACACACCGAACAGACACACACACTCGGTCACACATAATATCTACACACCGAACACACAGACACAGACTC